CCCCGCGGGCAGCGACGAGGCGGAGAAAGTGAAACCGTCAGACACACAAACTCTCTCTCTCTCTCTCTCTCTCAAACGCACACACAGACATGCATACACACACACACACACCACACACACACACACACACACACACACACACACGGGCACACACGCGTACACACGCAGGCACACCCGCGCACACGCGCCCACGCGCACACACATACACACGCACACACGCACACACACACACACACACACACACACACACACACACACACACACACACACACACACACGCGCGCACACACACACACACTAACACTTGCGGGCGCACGCGGGCAGCGCGACGAGCCACTCGGCCGCACAAAGTCACACGCCGGGCGCATGGAACTGCGCAAGGCAAACAGACAAGGGAGGCCGGCCGACAACAAGCTGGCCAAAGCGCATGGATTCGGCCGCCTCAAGGCCAGCAAGACAGGGACAAGTGAAGGGGCCCTGGGGCACACAAATAAATAGACAGCCAATAACAGGACTCCCCAAAGTTTCCAATATTTTCTGGGTTGTTGTTTCCCCCCCACCCCACCCCACTTCCCATTTCCCCGAATCTTCCTGGGAGTCGACGATTCATTGTGTCTGTGTGTGTTGTTCCCCTCCTGGACAAGAAGGGCCGAGCAAGAAGGAGAGAGAACGCGAGGAGCCAGGAGCGACAACCGACAGCCGAGGGAGGGGGACGGACGGGCGAGGGGTCAGCGGGCCGACCGGCGGGCTAGGGGAAGCCAAGGGGAAGAGAGGACGCACCACACCACAAGGGCAAGAAGTGGCACTCCTCCTCCTCCTCCTCCTCCTCCTCCTCCTCCTCCTCCTCCTCCTCCTCCTCCTCCTCCTCCTCCTCCTCCTCCTCCTCCTCCTCCTCCTCCTCCTCCTCCTCCTCCTCCTCCTCCTGGGAAGGAGGAGAAGAGACACTTGCGCGAATGCACGGGGGAGGGAGGAAGAGGGGGGGGGCCAGCTCAGCGGGCTTTTTCCCCGCACGCGCCACGCCCGAAATCTTCAAGATGGTAGCAAGTATCGTATGTGTGCCGCGGAGCCCAGGGCCGGGGCCCAGGGCCACCCAGGGCCCAGGGCCGCGGAGCCCAGGGCCGGGGCCCGGGGCCGTGGGCCCCTGCTGGCCCACCCGCTGCCGTTGTCCGCGGAGCCCAGGGCCGGGCCGGGGCCGCGCTGCGCCCAACACACACACACACACACACACACACACACACACACACACACACACACACACACACACACACACACTTTTTGCGTCGGCGGCTAGGCAGAGTCACTGCGCTGGCGGAAGGGCGGAAGTGGGATGCACGAAGCGCGAATTAAGCCGCGATGCACGGGGGAGGGAAGAGGGGCCCAGCGCGGGCGAGAGGGAGCGAGGAGCCGGGCCCGCTCAGAAGGGGCCGCCGCCAGCGGGGGGGGCGCCGGAGGGGGACCAGCGGCGGCGGGGCAGCAGCTGGGGGTAGGGTGCAGGGGCACCAGCCGGAGGCTAGCGCCCAGGGGAAGGCCCAGCGGAGCTGGAGGCAGAAACGAAATAGCAGTGCCCAGGTAGCCGAGGTCAGGAGACCTGCGAGGCGCCCGGAGGAAAGAGCCAGATGGCAGCCCCCACGAAGAGGGAACAAATGAGGCCGGGCGGGCGTATCGAAGGGCACGACAAATGAGAGACGGCCCCTGGGGAAAAAGAGCGTGGCCAGGAGCCGAGGAGGCCGAGGACGTGGCTGACCTGCAAGGCACCGCGGTGGCGAGGCAAGCGAGGCCGAGCAGCCAGAAGTGCCCAAACGGGGCAAGCAGCCCCAGGGAGCAGTGGGCGGCGGGCGGAGGCGAGGGCGAGGACAGCGGGAGCCGAGGTCGCACGTGACCTGCGCGGCGCCCGGGGAGGCCGGCCAAGAGCCGCACCACGAGGCGCGCCGCCCGGGGAGCCGGCGGGGGCGAGGCCGGGGGCGGGACACCAAGCGAGTGCCGGGCGGGGGAAGAGAGGCAGCAGGCAGGTCAGCCGCGGGCACCGAGGTCGCGGCGGACCTGCGAGGCACCCCCTGGAGCGGCGCGAGGCAGAGCCGGCCTGGGGCGAACGGAGCGGGCCGACCCCAGGGAGGGAGGCGGCGGCGATAGGCGGGCGGAGCGCGAGCGCCCCCGGCAGGGAGAAGGGGCCGCGCCGGGCAGAGGCAGCGGGCGGCTGGCCCTCCTCCTCCTCCTC